GACACAGGTCTGAGCCCACCCACCCACAAGTGTCACCTCCTTCTTCTTCCGCTTCCCCTTGGACTTGGTCTCCTTCAGCTTCTTAGGCTTCTTCTTGGGAAGGCTCACAGGCTCTGCAGGGAAGAAATCCTCGAAGCCTTCAAGGCCACCATCGTCTTCTTCTGCAGGGGTTGGAAGGGAAAAGGGTCACCTTCAGTTTTAGCCAGAACCAGGGACACAGAACCAGAGGGAGTCCACGGGACCCACACACCATCCAGATCCAACAATGCCAGATCACAGCCATGTGACCACAGTCCTAGGCCAAGGAACAGCTGTCATGTCTACCCTGGTGGGCAGCACAAGTCACCTCCCGCTCTGGCCTTTCCTTCCCCCCTCTGTAAGAAGGAACAATAACCACTGGGTGGTGGTGGCGCACATCTTTGATGGTGCACACTTGAGAGGCAGAATCAGGAGGATCTCTGTGAGTTCAAGGCCAGCCTGGTCTACAGAGTGAGTTCCAAGACTCTGTAGTTCTCCAAAGCTACAGAGAAACCTTGTCTTGAAAAAAGAAAGAAAGAAAAGACAGGACAATAATCACCTGGTCTTGAAACCAATAAGGTCTACTCGGTTGTCCTTACTGGCCTGGCAAGAAGTGGCCTCATGGAACATCAAAGTCATCGCGAGCTGGCCCAGGGAAGGCTGGGCCCAATAGAGAGGCCAAGCTGAGTAAGGCCTAGCTTTACCTCCAGAGGTTCAAGTACAGCTGAGGTGTAACTCACCAAGACAATAAAAGACCCGGTCCCAACAGCCAAAGACCTGATAGGAGCCTCTTAATGAGGGATTCAAGATTACACTGCTTCCCCTGCCCGGCCCTATGCAGGGGATCAACACACATGACCAACCTACATGCTCAGGGCTCCAGGATGCCAAGCCCATTCCACATGTGTGTTCTCCAGAAATTGCCCAAGAATCCCAAATTTTCTCACTGGCTTCAAGAATTAAAGGCCAAACACCAGACATGGCTGAGCATTGGGGAGAACCTGCTAGCCACCCAGCCTAGCCAAACTAGGGAACCTATCGTCCAGTAGGAGATCCTGTCTGAAGGTAACAGTGATAGAGAAGGCATCCGATGTCTTCCTCTGGCCTCCACATGAGCACACACACACACACACACACACACACACACACACCCTCAGGTATGCACACACTCACACCTTCAGGTGTACACACCACAAAACACAACTTTTTAAAATTACAGGCCAAGAGGGAGGAGGGTGGGCTTAGGGGCTGGAGTCATTTAAAAGGTGGCTAGTGGCTCCATGTCACCCCAAAAGGAGAAAGGTAAGTCTGCCCCAGCTCACCCTCAACCTAGAAGGAACTTCTGTTCTGGGGAGACATAGTGAGCTGGACCCTGACTCCTACCCTCGGGGGAAATCCAAGTTGAGCCAGTGTTCCCATTCACCACACATGACCTCAGAGGTGAGGTGGCAAGGGTTATCTCAGGGACATGACAGCAAGAACCAAACCACCCAGAGTAGAGAGAGATGACCCCCCCAGGGGGCAACGGACAGAGAGATGACTATCCAGAAGGACAGAGAGACGGCCCTGGGGGGGGGCAAAAAACAGAGAGATGGCTACCTAGGGGGGCAAAGGACAGAGAGATGGCCAAGAGGGACAAGGGAGGCTTCCAGAATAAAGTAGCTCCAAGACCATAAGAGAGCAAGCCTACTTCACCAGCCCATAACCTGGGTGCCTCAGCAGGCCCCTCCTGCCCCAGTGAGTGGCTGGGGTGGCCAGAGGGGTACAGAAGAGGCTATGCCTCACCAGGTCCTACATGAGGCGCCTGCCAGCCTTGGATCACTTGAGTCCCAGAGCCCCATGGAAGACAGGTTCCCACTGGGTCTGTCTGGCTCCCTATACATGGTGGCTAACCTCAGTCACACATATCTCACTCTCAGAGGGCAATTCGTGTCTCCAGTAGCAGAAGATCCCGCCCCCCTGAAGTCTACACAGTCAGTCTGCATCTGTACAATCCTCCTACCGGGGCAAGGTACCCCTCAGCACCAGGACCCCGTCCAAGGGACAAGGCCTGCCTACCAATGCAGCTCTCCACAGTCTCCAGGGCAGGGATGAAGTGTGCCAAAGTTCCAGCCCCTCCTACAGTCAGAGTGGAAACTCGGGAGAGCAGACAGCAAATACAGAGAAGAGGCAGACTCCAGGCAGGACTGGAAGTGCCAAATGCACGCCATCCCTGGAGGACCGCCACAGCACATGACAACCTACAGGGCAGGGCACTGCTGAGGCAGGGTCCATGAGGCAGGTACAGCAAGACTCCAGAGCCCAGGGAGTGGACAATGAGGCCATTCCTTACATGGGCCAGGAATCCAAGCTGGGACCAGGTAATGCTGGAAGGAACACCTCCTGTTCTCCTGAAGTGCCAGAGGCAGGGAAAATGGAAAATCTACAGAGAGGCCCTCAGTGTCATCTTGGCGTGAAGGAGTCTTGGCAACGGCGCTGAGGATGGCAGGAGGCCAGGCTAGAGTGGCCAGTGGGCCACCCATCCACACCTGAGTACTCTCCCAGCATCACAGACACCCACCCAAACGGAAGCACCCATCCCCTGGGAGTGTGCCACACCCGTTATATAACAGGCTGATGCAATCTCAAGGGGCCCTTCTCCCTCCTGCCTCCACCCAGCAGGGGAAGCCCCAGGCTTAGGAAGCCAGCCCAGCAATGCTCCCCCACTGACCAGCAGGAGACGGAGGCCCACAGGTGGCTAGGAATGTTCTAGAAGGAAGCCTGTGATCTACTGGTGGGTACAGAAAAGGGCGAGGAGGAGCCTCCAGGCTAGCTGTAACTCACCCGGAACAAACACAAACCCCATGTCCATAAACAGCACCCCTCTTCCTCCACAAGAAAACCTCACAGTCCAAGCCTGCCTGGTTAATTAAAAAGGAAAAAATAAAATAAATCTCCCTCCAGGAAGTTTCCACAGCTGGCACACGAGGATGGGGACCCAGCTCTGACCACGCCCATTCCTAGCAGGCACTTCCTGTCCCCACTCCACTTCTGGTAACCCTGAGGACACCTCAGGCCTGGCCCTGGGTGACACTGGATCCTACCCCATCACCCCACACACCTAGTCCTCACTGGCTTGGCAGCCCTCTCTTCCCAAATGGGCCATACCCCTCCTTAGCAACAGGTCCCGAGCCTTCTAAAATCAAGCGTGGGAGTCACGGGCCAAGCCACCCCACCGTCAGCCACGCCCAAGTCTCGGGCTTGTGCCATCATCCCTGTTATTTCTTCCCATGGCCCCATCGGCCAGGGCAGGTCAGAGGCAGTTTGTAAAACCAGGGCATGTGGCCAGTCTGAGAGATAGGATTCCACTAGCCCGGAGTGAGGGGATCCAGGGTGGGGACAGCCAGCCCATAAAACAGTTTGTCCTGCCAATTCCCAGCCCCTGGAGGCTGCCCCACTGCCCCTGCTGGCCAGTCTGGCTGTACCCTCAAACACCAGCCAGCCCCGCCCTAGGGCCTGAGGCTCCATCGATCTGAGCCAGCTATAATTAGGACCATTAGCTCTGTAACTCCTCACATCTTAAGGCCTGAGGAGGAGCAAGGGAGGCTACTTCCAAGACTCGGGGTGGGAAGCAGCATGAAGATGAGTGACAGAGTGAGGGTCAGAGTCGGAGGACAGAATCGGGCAGGGTGAAGGCACAACTTCCAAAGCTTTTTTCTGATCCCTGCCAGCCCCTTGTTAGCTGGCCACTCGCCCTCCACTCAGGCCTACATTCTCCAGCTGCAGCCCAGTGAGCCAGCTGGCCCTTCTCGGATGGTGAATGACAGCACTGGCACCCAGCCAGGTGTGGTGGCACAGGCCTCTAATCTCAGCACTGCACAGTCTGAGGCAGGGTGATGTCAAAGTTCAAAGACGTCATGGGCTACAAAGCAAGGCCTTGCCTGATAACACAGATGTGTGACTCTGAAGACCTCATCACCTCCGACAGCCGTCAGGAGTACAGCCAGGTGGCAACCCAGACAAGAGACAATAACCAGTATGGAAGCCCTCCCCTAGCTCTGCCCTCCAGGCTGTGGACCTGCCCAGAGCCCGGCATTTCAGCAGTGTGACCTTGTGGGCCAAGCTCAGGATTGTACCTCAGGACCACTGAAGTGGCTAAAGCAGGCTCTGGATCAGGGTTGCCAAAGCCTAAGGGATGGGGGTGCAGCGCAAATTAGGACAGATCTAGGAACCTACCCCCAAGGTGAAGCCCTGCAGGCTCTAGGCCCTGCCTCCTCTGAGGAAGCCGCCAGGAAGCTTTTCCAACAGGGAGAAGTTAAGGTCGTCTGACTCAGTGAGTGGGAGAACTAGGGGGTCAGAGGCAGGAGCTGGGGTGAGACCCACCACCAAAGTCTCAGGATAGCAAATCAGCCAATGGTGAGACCCAGCTTGGTCCACCACCCTTCCCAGATCCCAGGGAGTAGGGACTCTGTTTCCAGCCCCCACAGCCTGTCTCCAAGTAGGGAACAGGGCCACCTAGTGGTCAGGAGGGAATAGGACCACCTGAGAAGCCTAAGGGCTTCAAACCACCACCCCCTTCCTGACCAATGGCCCCAAAGCCTGCCGTGTCCACTGTGAAATGGGTTCATGCTTCATCCTCTTCCTGGGCAATGGAGACACAGGATTGTGAAAACATGGGACCCCAATGCTGGGTGCAGCCGAAAGAACCCAGAAGGGGTCAGAGCGGAGGCACTCTGGGCCAGGACTTGTGGACAGTGAAAAGACTAACCGGAGTTCTCATTCATCTCTGGGCCTCCCCACATGGCACAGGCACTCAGCCGATCCTGAGCAGTGCTACCGAAACCCAAGAGGTGATTAATAATTTATTTATGACATTTAACAAAACCCAGACATCACCTCATTGGCATCTCATAAAAGAGTCAGTCCAGAGAGTAGGCGAGGAGAAGTGTGGAGGGGCAGCTCTTACCCTAAGTGACTGGGACCTGGGCGCGGCCGGGGAAGCAGGGAGAAGCCTCCAGTCAGGCACAGGGCATGGGTGGGTGGGAAGAAAGAGGTAAGGAGTAGAAGATATAGAGAAACAACCCTGGAGGTACAGGAAGAGACAAGGACGAGAGAGGCAGAGATGCCAGACAGAGCAGATATAGACTGCGGAGGGAACAGAGCAGGAGAAAGAGACCGGGGGGGGGGGGGGGAAG